CGCAGCGCTGTACAGCGCAGCTCCAGCAGCATGTCACCCAAGAAGTGAGCTACTCGAACTGTCTGTGTGCCCTGGCCTGGCCCAGCTATGTATAGCGCTGGGCCTCACTGGTGTGCCCTGGTCCTGGCGAAAGCGGCCTGCCTGGGTCCCTACCGGACGTCCACGCTCTCGCTGTTGATGCAGCAGGGAGTGTCTACTACCGGACGAAACTGGACCTGGCCTGACCGGGCCTGGTTACGAATGGAAAAGGCCCAAGAGGCCTTGCTCGGTCTGTTCGGATGCACTGCAAGTCCGAAACGACGCCTGAAACAGACATAAATAGAACAGCAAATAAATAAGTAAATAAATGCTGCCTCAAATCGAACCCTGCGGCCCCAAAGGCTGGCCGTGGGCCTCCAGGGCACGTGCCTAAATGGACCCCAGCAACCATCGGGCCCCCAAAACGGGGCCCGTGTGCAGGCTCAGCATGTAACAACAGCAGAATATAGGACAGGAGAGGACAAGAGAGGACAGGAGAGGACAGAGAAGGACAGGGAAGGAAAGGAGAGCACAGGAGAGCACAGGAGAGCACAGGAGAGCACAGGAGAGGACAGGAGAGGACAATAGATGATAGGTGAGGCAGGTGATCCAGATGAGAAAACGACAAGACAGGAGAGGGGGAGAGAGGACAGGTGAGGACGGGAGAGACACGACAGGAGAAGAGAAGACATGAGAAGGGAAGAGAAGAGAAGAAAACAGAGGATCATCATGGCATCAACTATAACATCAGTATCTTAGCGTTCCCAATGGGCCCAGGCATGAGCAAACGCCACAGAGCGGCCAGGTCCATGTACTTCAGAAGTCCTTCAGGTGCAGGTCAAGGCACTCAACAGGACAAGCATTCCACAGCTCAGGTTAGCACACCTTGTTGCAAGACCCACAGGAGCTAAGTGGCCAGGCCTACTACTTGCATAGCATAACCAGTGCTTTCTGCCTCATCACGTGACACAACGAATGCCCGCCATTCTCCCTCTGCGCAGGAGGGATCAGCATTGCCGTGAAGTGCAATGGCCATCACGTCATAAGTCAATCAAGTCATAAGTCAAAAGAAGGCTGCAGCGACATGTAGACCGCAGGCATTGGTAGACCCAGACGAGGCATTAGTAGACCCAGACCACAGACAAACACAGAATCACACAGTAAACAACTGGGAGCAGAATTAGACTCACCTGTCATCAATGGCTTCTGGCTTCTGGCTTCAGGCAGGAGAAATCACCGTCATGTTGCTCAAACACAATTGTGTACGAGGGAATGTTTGATATAAACATAAAGCCCCATATCAATGAGCAAATACACAGGCATTAGGAGCAGCCAGATCACATATGATCAGCATAGAAAAAAAAGAAGTGCAGAATGGGACTTTGACGAATTCATCAGGAGACCACACCCCCTCCAGGGGGTATAAGATGGAATCCGCGTCGACACCAGCCGCAGATGCTCACTGCCCTTGAACCACCAGTACATGGCCCCAGCCGACTTGAGAATCACGATTGAGCCTCTCTGATACAATCAGAGGCTCGGGGCAACCCGACCAAAATGGTTGGCCACACCAACCAAAAAAAAAAAGAAAAAGGAAAGAAAAGGCCACGCTGGCGTTCCAGCAAGACTTTGCACGCAGTGGGAATTCGCCTCGTACGAAAGAGGCACGGTCGTACTGGTCACTTAAGCCACCAGTACCTCCGAACGTCCTTTTTCCAATGCGTGATTTCGTCAGCCCCAAAAAAATTCAAACCATCACGGGGAAGGGCATACCAGGCGCCACCAGCCTTATGGTCCAGCAGGGCGGACCTTTTCGCGGCCCCTGGTTAACCTGCATGTGTGAACAGGGTAGCTGGGCAGGGTACTGGTGGGTTGAAGCCGCCAGTACCTCCAAGCCTCTTTTCGCAAAGGCGGGTGCCCCCTGCGCATATGCACCAATCCTTGCTGAAACACCAGAGCAGCATTATTTTTCTTCTTCTATTTCTTTTGGGTACTGCCGCCAGCCATTTTGGTTCAGTACCCTCGAGCCTCCAAAAAAATTGGATTGGCTCGATTTCAATTCTAAGGTTTGCCTTGGGGGGAAGGGACTGGTGGTTTAAACCGCTTGTACACGGCCCCAGCCTTGCAGGAAGTTTTTTTCGCCACAAGCAAAACTCGGAGGCGCCGCGCAGCCAGGCACGCCGTTGAAAAAAAAACTCAGCGGCCTCCGAAGTGGTGCGGTTTTCATACTGACACCCGCGCGCCGATATGTGGTGTACTGGTGCTTTAAGAGAACAAGCGATAAGAACAAAAGGAGATACCACCGGGCTTATAGCTCGGTTGGTACACCCATAAACTGTTGAAATGCAGATTGGTACACTCATAAACTGTTGAAATGCAGACCTGAGTTTGAATCCAGATGGAACGAGATGAAACAATATGCCTAACTTCGCTAGGGCCAGTCAGTTTCGCCATGATATCTCAAGGCTGTCGAACTTTAAAAAAAAAGGCGAAAAACAAAACGGACGAGATGAGTTGACAATGACATAGTCACACAGATGCACCTCACCACGTGCTGTCTGGAGCAACCCATCGTCAGCAGCCCAACGGCCACTGAACAAAAGCTTGTCACCATGAAAGAACGTGTAGCCAGTTGAGCCGCATTCGAAGACGAATACGCATCGGCAGAGGGGAAGAGGTTCAAGTGCGACAGGACTTAGACAAAAGCAAGCATCCCTCACCTTCATCCTTGAAGAAGCGTGGCTGCTCGCCAGAGACAAAGCAAAGGACCTACGGACGTGCGCACAGAGAAAGCAAAAGACCTGCACATCCGTTCCAGTCGAGGAAAGTCGGATGGTAAGATCATCATAAGATCACGACCGAGAAGTTAGACCACCACTACCTTTCCCATATATCAGCCATAAGGAACAAACATAGAGTGGAAGCGTTTCTACTCGGCTGAATTTGGGCGCTCCGCTAGCGGCCCGTTCATCCTCCGAAAGTCGCAGCCGCGGCATGCGGGAGCGACTTTCGAAGGTACTGGTGGTTTAAAACACCAGTTCGTCCAAAGCCGAGTTAGGCTCTTACTGTTTTCCACGGTAAGGCCATGATGCTTCGGGCCAGTGAACATGGAAGGCCATTATGAACAAAAAAAGGCTCGTGAGCGTAGGAAGGTAGCTTCGTCAACTTAGGCTCGCGTGAAGTGGTGGTTTGAGGAGGAGAACCTGGTGCAATGCAGGATCGAGAAGACTGGGATACTAGATTGTAGTGAGAAGTACAATAATTAGCAAGTCGATCAAAGAGCAAACCTTCAGGTCCACAAGCAGAATACGCATTTCTCGAAAGCGAGAAGAGAATGAATGTTTCCAATGTGTCGAATTGCACTCCACGCATGGATCAGGAATGAATTTTCCAAAACTGGAGTTCAGGCACAAATATCGACGACATAAAAAGGAAGAATACTTGTAAACAAACAAAAGAAAACGGTGACCACATTGGGGTATCATCATCCTTACGATTCCGACCGACCAGCTCCAGATAATTCAGAGTTATAATTTTAATAATCCGACTCCATCAGGATTCGAACTTAGGTCTATCTGTCAACAGCTCATCGGTGTACCGATCAGCTGCAAGTGCTGGGCAAGCAGGAACACTTCAAATTCCACTCGAGACACAAATAGCCACAAATAGCCACAAATAGCCACAAATAGCCACCGAGCATGCGCACAAACGTCCAGAGGGAGAAAAAAAGGCTCTTTAAACCACCAGTCATTCAGGTCGCGGCAGAGCATGCATGCCACGTCTCTGAAAAAATGGCCGGGAAAAGTACTCGTGGTTTAAACATAAAGGTGAAGACGAGAGCAGAGGAGACAAAAAAGAAAGGAAAGGCTCTTTAAAGTTCAAACATAAACGAAAATGAAGCACAATGGATTTTCAAATTTCAATTCGATTTGAAGAATGTACATACATGCCCACCCACCTTGCCAGTGAGACACACAGACGTGATGGGCGGAAGCGGCTAGAAGGTTGAACGCAAGTTTGACTAAGGGATAAATCTCACTTGTGTGACAAACGCCTGACAAGTACAGAAGCCTCCGCTGCCACCGCATTGGTACACAACAACTGCACCAAGTACCATAAACAGTCAAAATGCCCTTCTGGCACTGCGTACTTTCACCGACCTGCACAGTATGCATAAGATAAGATGATCCGAACATGTGCATTCCAGACGGATAGGAGGGTTTTCGCAAAAAAAAACAACAACACCTCCAGAAAGAATCGTTTGAGATTGCCAGAAAAAGAGGACCTGAGTTACAGGCAATGAGCCCAGGCACTGTGCCAAGAGCAGATTCAAAATCGGTCACCCAGTTATACCCCCTCAGACCCAATGCCATAGATACAATTCTCATACTCGGGGAAGAAATGGGTAAAATAGTCCTTCGGGACATCCGTTAAAATTGGAGCAATACAGAGAAGGAAGATTAGCATGGCCCCTGCGCAAGATGACACACATAAATCGAGAAATGGTCCAAATTAAAAAAAAAAAAAAAGAACCAAAAAAAAAAGGGTAAAGCTCCAAATGAGGCTTAGCAATAGGACAGCTAGACAGTTAGGCAGACAGGCATGCACACTAGACAATAAATAAGACCGCAAAATTGACATGAACACAGAGTACACCATACATTCACCAGACACAAAAGGCAGGCAGGGAGGCGGGGAGGCAAGGAGGCAGGGGGGGGCATGGAGGCACACTAGATATCAGGACTAGGACCACTGACAAAAAAGAGAAAGAACCGGTGCATTCACCAGACACGACTCCTCTCTTCCAACCCGGCTATGGTATGAGAGCTGCAAAACAGTAGCAAATCCCTCACCCTGGAGGGGAGAGAGAGAGAGGGGGTGGGGGGGGGGGGGGGGGGGGGGGGGGGGGGGGGGGGGGGGGGGGGGGGGGGGGGGGGGGGGGGAGGGAGGAAGGAGGAGGGTAGGAAGAAAGTAACAAACAATAAATTCGTTTCATTTCATTTAATGATTGAAATCGACTAAAAGAAAGACGACCGAGCCCAAAAAAAAGGTGTCGTCATCGTCTTCCATCTAAACATTGGTAAGAACTAGCTAGATAGATCCCATTTCCCTCATACCTGCTGGCATGCACCTTTTCTCATATCTACGTCCGTTCACTAAGAAGAACTCTGGACATTTTCCGAATGTCAAAGCAGAATCCTAAAACCAGCAAAGAATAAACTTTTTAAAGGAAAAAAAAAAAGAAAAAGAACACCATACCCAAAAAAGGGCGTCCATGCCAACCATCAGTCGGCACGTATACCCAAAATGCCCCCCCGCCGCCCCCCCCAAAAAAATCTTAGGCTGATTCCCCCGTGTTCCTCGTTTCAGCAGCCATGGGTCGCATTCTCCTTTTCCGGTTCATCTTCCAGCTGGTAAATGCATGGTGTACTCTCTCTGTTCATGTCCAGCCACCATGGGTCACATCCCAGGTGCTCACCTGAGAGAGGCAAGGGGTTGAGAGAGAGTAGTGACAAAGAGCCTGGAAGAAGCAAACGAGAGCGACGAGAGAGACCGTCTCTGTCGTCAAATGAGAGTGACGAGAGAGACCGAGACCGTCTCTGTCTCTCGCGAGCGTGTCTCTGTCGTCAAATGAGAGCGACGAGAGAGAACGAGACCGTCTCTGTCCCTCGCGAGCGCGTCTCTGTTGTCAAATGAGAGCAACGAGAGAGACTGAGACCATCTCTGTCTCTCGCAAGCGCGTCTCTGTCGTCAAATGAGAGCGACCAGAGAGACCGAGACCATCTCTCTCGCGCGTGCGCTTCTCCAAACATCCTTTACTAACCCAGATCCCATGAGGCTGGCAGACACCTGACACCTGCTGTTCTATCACAGCAGGATAATATCCCCCTCACTCGGGCACAAGCCCCACTTGTGCAAGGCTTGTACTGACTTGGCATATGGAGCTAAAACCCGTTTTACGACCAGATTCGTGCTACGCACGGACATGTCCAGAAACGATGCTCGTCATCTTGTGAGTAAATCAATGTTCCTAGAACAATTGCGCACCGTGCTGGCGAGTCCCTACAAAGACCTACAAGGCGGCACCATTACATTACTTTTCATGCTTGCATAGCTGCCTGCTTTCAGGTTCAGAGAAAAGAAGTTCCTCCTGTCCTGATGCATTGGAAATGTTCGACCAGTTCGAACACATCTGGCCCAATAAAACAGTCCAGATACGTGTCCAAATGGTACATTACTTTCATGCTTCCATAGCTGCCTGCTTTCAGTTTCAGAGAAAAGATCTTCCTCCTGTCCCGATGCATTGGAAAGGTTCGACCAGTCCGAACGCATCTGGCCCAACAAAACAGTTCAGATACGTGTCTAAATGTTACATTACTTCATGCCTCCATAGCTGCCTGCTTTCAGTTTTAGAGAAAAGATCTTCCTCCTGTCCCGATGCATTGGAAATGTTCGACCAGTCCGGCCCACCAAAACAGTCCAGATACGTGTCTAAATGTTTAGTAGCGGAGCGAGGCCGTACGCCTACATTCTAAAGGAATCTGGAGCTGGAGCTGGAGCTGGAGCTGGATGCTGGAAGCAGTCCAAATGCATTGGAAATCTTCGATCAGTTTGAACGCATCTGTCCCAATAAAACAGTCCAGATGCATGTCGAAATGCTGAGTAGTGAAGCGAGGCCCTATGCATACGTATCACTTCGGATCAGCTCTGACGTCAAATCGTGTTATACTTGATCTCGCATCGGACGGTTCCCATTGGACGGCCCCCCTCCATCCTCAAGTCCAAGAAAGCGTTACTCGCGTACTGAAGAGTACCCCTTCCTTTAACATTTACCATGGTCGCGCAGCGGCTGGTTATCAGACGATCGCCATTGCCACAGAGAAGGAGCCTCAGAGAAATCTCCAGGTTTCAGCACCGCAGAAAGCCACAGTCGAGCTCGAAAAATGACCATCCATTCCATGTCCCAGAGCAGGCCAGTTCTGAAGGAATTTGGTCAAAGGGGCACACCAAATCCAATTAGATGGGTGAAAACCTGATTCTCCCTTCACGTCACCGTCACCGAACGTAGGTTCACAGTCCAAGTCGGACTGCGGGCCGAAGGTTCGGCCTTCACATCGCACGCAATCCACTTTCTGTCCACGTAGTAGGGACGACGTCTAGTGCAAGGCGGCTTTCTTCAACCCCTTCCCC